CACCTGTGCCAGGAATGCAGCTGTTAGGCCTCTCCTCCCTGGAAGTCTCCACATCCCATTAGCTTGTCTTGACTAGGGATAGTTCAAGCCCCAAGTGTGCCTGTAGAATAAGGGGTGCCTCTGGCAGACCTCATGGATGGCCTGGCGAGAATACCATGGGTACTGATGAGGATTTCTCTGGCCCAGAACTCTGAATTTAGTCTGGCTAAGTGCCCCCTTGGTGTGTGAAGTGATTCTTGGTGCTATCCCATCACAATAGCTAAGACTGAATTAGCATGTGAGAAAAGTTATCTCTAATTAATCCTTACCCAGTCTTTTGATGAGGCCTAGGAGAAGGTTTCCTTATGGTACTAATATGTCTTTAACATCTACCTCCGACACTTGCTGGTGTCCCTTTTTTTAATAAAGCCTCAGGCATGCCCCCTATATCTAGGTAGAATTATCTTCCTTTTTGTGGTTACCTTCTGTATGGCAAGTGATACTGGTTTTCATGTGTTTTTGCAAGTGATATGCAGTTGCTCATTGCAATACATTGGTGAAGGGGAAAAAGGTCAGTTTAAGGAAGCAAGTGACATAGAGGTGGTGTGCAGAGAGGGCAAAGCATCTTGCAGGCGTTTTTCAAATGGCTAAAGATTGGGAGGTGCTACTCTGGGATTTGGCCTACACTGATTTATCTCAATTGCTGAAGTCTAGTGTCAGAACGGGATTTTTAATCTGGGACTTCTAATACCAGGACTGCCGTAGGTGACAATCTGCTTTGTCTCCCTTCTTCACTCCCTTTTCCTCCCTCCCCCTCTATTTGTTCATTCATTACACACTTGCTGAGTGCCCACTATGTGCTAGGTGCTATGTTGGTTGCGGACATAGCAGAGTGGTTCCTGGTCTTTAGTAGGGTAACCAGACTTGTGAAAATGTGGCTGGGATTCAGTGTGACAAGTGTACTCACAGAGGGAGAGGCCCCAGATTGTACACTGAGTACTGAGTGGCATAAAAGAGAAGTGGGTCAGAGAGAGCGTCCCAGAGAAGGAAATAATTGAGGTGGGTCTTAAAGCATGAATAAAAGTGAATATTGATCACTGCAGAAGGCAGAGAAAGGGATTGTAGGTAGAGGGACTAACATGTACATGGGTAGGAAGGCCTGATGAAAGTTGAGGAGTCCTAAGACTCTTATCTATATTTCAGTATGTCTGGGGTATAGACAGTGCTTCTCAAACTTCAGTGTGCATTTGAATCCCTTGGAAGTCTTGTTAAAATGCAAATTTTGATTAAATAGATCTGAGACAGGACCTAGGCCTGTGTTTCTTTCTTTCTTTTTTTTTTTTTGAGACAGAGTCTTATTATGTTGCCTAGGCTTAAGTGCCATCACAGCTCACAGGAACCTCAAATTCCTGCGCTCAAATGATCCTCTTCCCTCAGCCTCCTAAGTAGTTGGGAATACAAGTGCTTACCACAATGCCTGACTAGTTTTTCTATTTTGTTTTAGTAGAGACGGGGGTTTCATTCTTGCTAAGGCTGATCTTAAACTCCTAAGCTCAAGCAGTCCACCTACCTTGGTCTCCCAAAGTACTAGGGTCATAGGTGTGAACCACCATGCCTGCCCTCTTTGTTTACAAATTTTAATAGACGACAGTGCCTGTGGCTCAGTGAGTAGAGCACTGGCCCCATATACCAAGGGTGGCGGGTTCAAACCCAGCCCTGGCCAAATTGCAACCAAAAAAAATAGCCAGGTGTTGTGGTAGGCGCCGTGGCAGGCGTCAGTAGTTTCAGCTACTCAGGAGGCTAAGAAAGAGAATTGTCTAAGCCCAAGAGCTGGAGGTTGCTATTAGCTGTGATGCATAGCACTCTACCGAGGGTGACAAAATGAGACTCTGTCTCTAAAAAAAAAAAAAAAAAAAATTAATAGATTTAGGGGATGCAAGTGGAATTCTGTTGTAGATATGTGTTATATCCTGGTAAAGTCTGGGCTTTTAGTGTCCTCATCACCCAAATAATGTACATTGTACCCAGTAGGTAATTTTTTATCCCTCACCCTCTTCCACCTAGCCCCAGGTCTGTTTTTATCGAACTCCCAGGTGATGCTAATACTGTTGGTCCATAGCCCACACATAGACAAGTTCACATGTAGCAGTAATGTAATAGCAACAGCCAGCATCTGTGTACATTCAGTGTTGTATTTCAGGTACTATGTGGCAATGTACATTTCATTTAACCCTCACCCCAGCACGATGGATGAGGATTAGGATTGTCCTTACTTCACACTCAGGAAACTGAGGCACAGATAGGCCAAAGTAATGTGGTGAAGCAGAAGTGGCTGAGTTTAGAGGCAGGCCCCAATTAGCCCAGAGAGGAAAATGTCTCCTGTTCTAGGCTGAAAAGCTTGGACTTGATCTTGAAGGCAGAGGGAGAAGTTGAAGGATGAATAAACTGGGAGGAACTGGAGGAAATTCACCTCAGTAGAACAATTGCTCCGGCCAGGTCTCCCACCCCTACCCAAGTGAAGTATCATGTGAAGTTTGGTTCATAAATGAAGTCCTGAATGTTTTCTTGCTAAGTTTGTTCTAACTCAAGCTGCTAATTAGTTTTAATCTCCCCTTCATTGTAGTTTTTTTTGTTGATGTTGTTTGACTTCACTTGATTTTTAAGTGATTGGTTCAGTTCAGTGTTTCAACTTCTTTTTGATCCTCACTTTAATGATCTAAAAATGAAGACTGAACCTTCTTCCTAACAGAGCAATATTGTTCAGTTAGACTGGCTCACAAGGCTGGATGTGGTGGCTCCTACCTGTAACCCTAGAACTCTGGGAGGTGGGTGCATTGCCTGAGCTCACAGGGTCAAGAGCAGCCTGAGCAAGAGTGGGACCTTTTCTCTAAAAATAGCTAGGTGTTGTGGCAGGCACCTGTAGTTCCAGCTACTCGGGAGGCTGAGGCAAGAGGATCACTTGAGCCCAAGAGTTTGAGTTTGCTGTGAGCTGTGGTGCTACAGCACTCTACAGGGGCAACCAAGTGAGACTCTGTCTCCAAAAAAAAGAAAAAGACTGGCTCACAGTTCAAGGAAAGACCTGTTTAGAGAAGGCAAATGATTTTTTTTTTTTTTTTT